GGAATCACAAAGGAAACTGTTAAGTACGTATTTCACACCTTTCCTACCTACGACCGCGGTTGCAACCGGTATTGGTGGCCACCGCGGTAGAGACCCCTAATTATAAGCAGTCCGCGGCTCTCCCCGGTGTACCGCGGTGATTACCGCGGTGAACCGCCCGTTTGATTTCCTACTCTTCCCTAAAATACATTTACATTACTAATATAGAAAATATGGTACCTTTATACCTGAACTATATGATATGAAAGTAAAAAAAAAACAATTAGTGACTCACAGAACTGGCACTGACCACCATGATAGCATGATTGACATGTACAAGTATAAGCTTCACAGTTTCCTGCAACTGCAGTACAAGTCCCTCCATTCTGACATGGGTTAGTTGAACATGCTGAACTTGTTGCTAAAATTAACAAATAAATTACAGTGAAAGTAATGTATTAATGGTCAATGGCTTTACTTTTGTTGCTTAGTTGTTTGAGAAAATGTTTCCTTAATAGGTAAGATGTGCTTGCATATATCTGCATGTTTCAACTTTATGATGTTTCAACTTTATGATATTATAACTTCGTAGCTAGAGCATTAGAATTTGTAGTACTTACGTATTTCACAGTGGCTACCAGTGAAACAACCACTACAAGTACAGGTATATGATGAACATGAATTGGGAGTAACAACACATGCTCCACCATTGAGACAAGGATTAGGATTACACTGACTTTGAATCTCTGTAAAAACAAAATAAAGTGAAACTATTGTGAGCATTAGCTCATCAAATTATTTACCAACTGGAAACATTGATTGTGTTAGACATACATTTTCACAACACATAGATTTTGTATAAGGAATTATGAGGACATTCTTTAACAGCCATATTATTCAACAATGCAGAAAAGACCAAATTTAATAAGAAAAATACAAATGTGGACTTTCCATCTACTTGCTCTCTCTTTCATAATTTTCCTTATATACAGAGAGCATTACTTACGGAATTGACAGTTAGGTCCAACAAAGCATGAAAGACATTCACATATATAAGCTTGGCATGATCCTTGTACTGCAACACAAGCACCACCATTCTGACATGGATTTATGTCACACTGAGTATTTGAATCTGTATATAATACAGTAGAAATATATTAATACACAACCAACACTATTTGAAAAGTTGCGAGATCAGTTTAAAATTGGTTATCAACTATCATAAGAAAATCCTGGAAAATAAAAAAACTCTTGATACAGAATTGTACCTTTTTGTACTTACATGTTTCACATCGCTGTCCAGTCCAACATCCTGAACACTGGCACATAAAATCAGTACATGAATTTTGAGCTTCTTGGCAAACACCTCCATTCTGACATGGATTAATAGTACACTGGCCTTGAAGAACTACAAATAACAAACATCAGTTGTGTCAGTCTGTGCTAGCTAGCTCCCAAGTGTTATTTTGGCTCAATTTCATCTATATATCAGTACATTTTTCCTCTCACCAAATATAAAACTAGTTTTAAAATGTTAGTTTGTAATACTACAATAGGAAAAAAGTAGTAAACCACTGCCTGAATCATGTTAACATATTGAACAATAAGCCATGTTCCGCAAGCTGCAAGATTATGTGGACCACAATTCACGCAACCAGTTGAGTCATGTGACACAGGTCAAGCTTTCAGTTAAATATGGTGGCAAACGCATTGCCCTGCATGTTGTAAACCTCATCACAAAACAATATTCATGATACTTGAAGCTACAATAGGAGTTAAATTGTGCACCATACGTCAAATGTAAGAGTGATTCTTGCATTCAGCACAAATATTATATGAATTATCTTTATTTTTTGCAATTCCATATAAGCCAACAATACAAAACAAAAATCAGTGCCTGCTCTCGGGCAGCCAATTTCATTCAACACTGAACCACCCAGGACCGTACATTTGTTCTCTGCACTTTGTGGATGTAAAAGATCATACAGAGTTGCATCCAGACCCAACACAGGCGACTGCGAAAGGTGTTGAATGCCGTATTATTGAATCACAGAAGACAAGGTCGTCACCGAACCCGGCCAAGTGAACTTGTTTCAGAAATTGCTGTGTATTGCAAGTCAATCACATGCCCATCGCAACATAATTTTACATCATTGAACAATTTGTAGGCTCTGAGCTTCTTCTGGTCATAGTCGGATCGATGACACATTAAATAACCTGTTAGCACTAGCTCATGACAATCATTAGCCACTGTGGCGACTAGCATGTTATGTTATTTTCCACATTTATCATTAGCCATATACATGTACATTGTACATACATGTATGAATTGTAATACTTGAATTTATTATGAATGACAACAATTATATTATCATTATATAGGTATTCTGCTTTATAGTGCATATTATTTCCCTACATCATGAATGGTGCTTTAGAATTGCATGATATTGTAGTTTCAGAATTTAATTAGCCATTTCAAATTTCAGTTAATATATGCATGGAGCTATATAGCTCCATAGTATATGCTAATTTGGCTAATTGAGAATGCTAACACCCCCAGAAGAGTTGACAAGACATTTGTTTCATCACCCCCACCCAATCCACAGTATTACTGGATCACCAAGCCGTTAATTTTTTTACAAAAAAAGAACATCCAATAATACTTACAGAATTGACATTGTGGTCCAGTGTAGCAAGTTGTACACATGCAATTATAGGCAGAGCAATGACCAGTCTCAGGCACACATGTACCACCATTCTGACAAGGGTTATTCAGACACTGGTTTTGGGAATCTGTTTACGATAAAATAGAAGTCTTTCAAATAAATGTGTTGGAAATAAAGTTTTCAATATTGCATAACACTGTATATGCAAAAATGTTGATGGCTAGTTGTTCAAAACCCATAGAAACTGAGGTTAAACAAATAATTCCACTCAGATTGAGTTATTAATTAAAAATTGTGGATGTTAACTTACATGTTTCACAGTTATTACCAGTAAAACATCCTACACAGTGACAAGTATAAGCTGAACATGAAGTGAAGTCTGGTATACAATAACCACCATTCAAGCATGGGTTTTGATAAGTACTTGTTACAGTACACACTGTGTTGGCAACTACAAAACAAACAAATTTCAGATGACAATGATATAAACAAAATATATACAGACAAGTAGAAAGGTAAGTACTTTTATAGTATATTGGATGACAAAATATCAGGAAACACAAAAAATCATTATTACTGTTATATGGAGATGTTCCTGCATTCTCCAATATTGCATTATAACTGGCTCAATTAATCATAAAGAAAATATAGAATGTTTAATACCATATTCACAATGCGGTCCAACATAACAAGAAGGACAGTTGCATTGATAAGCATTACAGTCTTCCATGGGTTCACATGTGCCGCCATTTTGGCAGGGATTGTTAGAAGAACATGCTGTACTTGCACCTGAATGGTGAGGGAAAACAACAATAAATTAAGGCAATACATGCAACTATTACCACTAAATGCCCCCTATACCACAGACTATAAGGATGGTGACCTACATTTTTCAGTCACAGAACATTCTGCTTGTTGTAGCTGGTATATATATTTCAATATCTATGATAATACTCTCAATAGCAAACAAAAAATTCAATTTCAGGGACTTTTTCATATGTACCATTTTTCATCCAGATTGTGACCATTCTGTGTCAACCAAACGAGCTATAACTAATTTCATATCATACAAAATAATAAACTTTTAAGAACATTTTTATTTGTCTGTCCTGCCACATCAGAATGAGATAACAAAGCTATTGACGTATTTGCTTGATTGGAAGAAGCACAAACACGTAAATGTTTGTGTAATGTCTGAGGGTGAAACAAGTCGTATTTCAATGATCTATACACTTTTTCAGAGATGTGCTTTCAATAGAGTAAATATATTATTACATTCAGATATGGAATAAATTGAATAGAAATATAATAACTTACGAATTTCACAGAATTGTCCAGAATAACACCCAGTACACTGGCAGGAGAAACTAGAACATGATCCAGGTGTTGCAATGCATATACCTCCATTACTACATGAATTTGCCTGGCACTGATTCTGAACAACTGATTGAAAAAAAATTTAAAACACATTTTTAATATAAAGATTCTAAATATGTATTTTATTTCAACATCATATACATACTAAATAAATATTTATTTCCACTTGTAGATAAATGTATAATATTATAATTGTAAAAATACTTACAATTTTGACAATTTTCTCCAGTATAACATTCAGGACAGGTGCATTCAAAGGCTGTACATGAACCTTGAACTATAGAACAACTACCAACATTGCATGGATTTTGTGTGCATGGATCTTGAATGGCTAATAAAAACAAATATGACAATTTGAATTAAAGATCAAGTGACAGCTCACGTTTTAATTCATTACAAGTTTTGGGATTTTAATTTCCCCCTAAGTACAGATTAAATCACTTTCATTGCAATGTGACTGTTGTATTTAGTAAAGTCGAAACTATAACTTAAATGTTATCTTAGTATTTGATATATACTTACGCTGATTACAGTTCTGTCCAGTGAAGCAGCCAACACAGGCACAGGTATAATCTGAGCACGAGTTGGAACTTGGTGTACACATTCCACCATTCATACAAGGATTAGTTTCACACTGACGAGGTACAACTGCAAATAAAAAATATATTCGCAAATTTATATATACTGCTATGTACTGTTACATGGGTATTGAATTTGTTCAATGATATCCAAGATCAATAGTTGAAAACATTACATGCAAAAACATCCATATACTTATTTTTATTACCATATATTCTTATAATTAATGATATGTTTGACTGACTAAAAACAATGCCATCCAGTTCATGTGTTTATCACTAGCTGATCAATCTTGATCTCACACAATTAATAAAATTTAATGCACTTACGTAGAGAACATGTAGGACCAGTGTAGCAACTAACACAAATGCAGCTATACCCTTGACAGGAGCCAGCAAGGGGTTGACATACTCCATTATTCTGACAAGGGTTTACATCACATTGTGTATTCGTACCTATAAAAGGTAGCAAATAGTTATACAATGTAGAAGGTGTATAATAATTAAGTTATTATGAAGATACCAAAAAGTATGCTTGAAAGCAGTATATATGTATGGTTGTATTGATTTCTGTCCCAGAAGTGCATAATTTGCAATCATACAATGGACAGTTGGTTAAAATAGACAAATACACAATGCAGATAATCACACACTCAATATAAAATATATTTCCGGTGGATTACCGACTAGATAATGATGCTTAAATATTTTTCTTCTGCAGTACATGTTGAAATTACGTATTGAACATAAATGCAGTCTAGAATATTGAACTAATTTTGAGCATCAACGTTATGTCATTAGACTTACGAGTTTCACAAACAGTTCCTGTATAACACCCGGCACATCTGCAAATGTATCTGGAGCATGCTGCATCTGACGGATCAACTATGCATACACCACCATTCATACAAGGATTTGTTTGACAAGGATTCATCTCTATAAAAGAAAAAAAAGTACAAATTTAGATTCCCACTACAATATTACTTTCATGACACCATTGATTATTGATTGTATTTATAATATAGATTTGTATCTGATAAGCATCTGATGCTTTAAACTTTTTTTGTAACTTGAGTTTTTTAATAAAATCCAAGTTATACATTTTTTAAAATTTGATTATGTATATTAAACTCACCAACAGAACAAGTTGGACCAGTATAACATCTGTTACAAACACATGAATAGGCAGAACAGTCTGAAGGACTAGCCTGACACTGACCACCATTTTGGCAAGGATTGTTGTCACATGGATTTATCACTAAAGGTACAAACAGATAAATTAATATTGACACCATACTGAAAAATAACATTTTCATACAAGGAAGAAAAAAAGATGATAAAAGATGTACATTAAACTAGTGCATACATTTTTCAACAAAGTTAGAATACCCATTTTCTATGATTTTTGGTCAAGATAAACTCATCATTATCCATCTGTAATTGTATCAGTAAAAGTATAGTGTGCTGTAATGAGAGATCCCACCATATTAGGACATGTAAATTCCACTATGAAGGGATTACATTGTATTTTCAAGATGGTGAACGCTTCTTGAAAATGGAGTTAATCATTTTCAGGCATTTTAGACAAATCGGTTGGATCGAGAGGATAATAAAATAGTTATTACAAGGAGATTAATTACATCAAATTTGATTAGTGCCTTCAGTTAACAATTATATAAAAGTCTAACAATCTTTGCTAGAAAAGTAGTTAGTTGTTCAAACATGTTACATCATAAAACACAGTAAATACAATTTTACATAGCTGATGAAAGAAATCACAATTCTGAAAAGGGAACAATGGCAACAGTTCTTATTGTATATGTGTAATATGCAGTACAACCTCCCTACAACAATTAATAGCAAAGTATTTTCAACATACGTTGCGTGCAGTAAGTGCCAGTGTAACAACCAGTACACTGACATGTATACTGGGTACAAGATTCTTGATCTGCAATACAGAAACCACCATTCTGACACGCTGAATTGGCACATGGGTTAATACCTGAAGGAGAAAAAGTTGGTATTAATAATATGAAACATAATGTTATACTACTCAATGCAATAAACTTTGAAAATACATGCATTGCAAAGAATGTGTGATGAAATATAGTCCAGGAGAAATCACAAATTGAATGCTGACCTTTAAGGTAGCGAGACTATTATTTGTGTTGAAAATTACGATTTTCACATTTATTTATTAATTGATGAAATGCACTATAAACTTTCATGTGATAAAGTCAACATAACATAGAATGTCATGTAAGTTGGTTAAAATGTAGATTTTCTGAAGGGAAGCAAGGTAGCCTCAGTAGTGTTTTCCAAAATCAACAACACAGGTTTAATCTGTGTGCCTGTGTAAACTCAAGACAAAGCAATGTTAGGATGTGTTATCAGTAGCTATCTGACACACAATGAGTGTTTCCAAACATTTGAGTGGTTTGTCTCTGCCCCTATTTGTTTCACAGATTAGTCATTTGCATATGAATGTGTCAAACACAAGGTCACACAGCCACTGAAAAAAATCATTGATTTCGGTGTTTTCATATGCCGAATTTATCCAATTATAGCTATCCCATTCCTTTATTTTTTTGGTTTCCAATAGCCTTACACATTTGGATGTCCCTACACATGTTAAAACAGACCTTGATGGGAAAACAAATTGATTGAATTTGACAATTGATGAAAACAAGTATGCAAATAATAGTCCCGCTACCTTAATCTATTTTTATCTATCTACACTTCGCAGTTTAATGTCCATTACTTACGTTCAAAGCAGTATTGACCGGTGTAACATGCAGCACATACACATGTCCAATCAGTACAGGAACCTTGGGTAGGTACACATTGTCCACCATTTTGACAAAAGCTGTTAGCACATGGATCCAACACTAAGAGAATGAAAAAGTAAATGAAAATATGTTTTTCATTATAAGAGAATCATCAACTATATTAAATGCAAAATTTGTAAATTCTATTCTAAACTTCAAGATATAATGAATGTATAAAAAATATGACTGGTGCTTACAAGTAGAACAGGTTGGTCCAGTGTAACATCCAGTACATTGGCAGGAATATTGTGAACAAGTTCCGGAAACTGCTTGGCAGAAACCACCATTCTGGCATGGATTATTTTGACAAGCATCAGTGACTGTTGAAACAATAACACAAAGTCAAATTTGAGGTATGTAAGTGTACCTCTATGTTGTTACTATCCAATTGTCAAACTGAAATGATTTTCACTGTATTCTGAATGTATTTGATACCTCCATATATTATTGGCAGGTATAATTAGAAAGCCACATGCAAGCCGACACGCAAGTCTAATTTGCATATACTTTTTCAACCTGTATTATATCCTGGTTTGCGAATAGGTTTTGATTAGAATGCCACGTGCAAGTCTGATTAGCACGAAATACCCTTAAATATATCCAAAATTTGCAAAATTATTAATATTCTATATATAAATGTAACAAAACAAGTAAAATTAATAAAAAGTGAAATACAAGCTGATCATACACAATCTTACGATACAACACATGGGACTTTTAACAATAGAAAGTGTCAGGCACTTCAAAAGTGAGTATTGTACTATTGACAAAAAATACACTCAAAATACTGTCTTAAAGAAGATACATGAATGAGCAAAAGGCATTATTATAGTCCACACAAGTCATTTAAGTTTTTTTAAAGTAAGAATATATCATAGAGTACATTCAGTACAAAACGTATAAAAAGTGAGATCTTAACATGCGAATGAAATTAATATTGGTACTTGATACTTAAAAATTTTGCAATGGCATAATATTATAATCAACAAATGCTACATTTGCGTAACTATAAAGAAACACCTCAGCATGCACACTTTTAAAAAAAACAAGAAGATGACTTACATTGTTCACAGTAGGTACCACTATAGCAGGTTGGACATTGGCAAGTATAATCAGTACATGATCCTGGTACAGGTACACAAGCTCCTCCATTCTGACAAGCATCAACTGAACAAGGGTTTATCACTGCAAAAACAAAACATAGTGAACTAACGCTTTTATATACACAGCTAAAATAATTTTGGGCTTATATTTTCCCACACAACACCAACAATTTGTCGATGAATAGACACATAATAATTTACTTTTAACCAATATCAGTCTTTATAAATAAAATGATGATTAGATATTGGCATAATATTTTCAATACCAAAAAACACATCCTAATAAATGATGCAATTACATGCAATATTAATAATCAGCTAAAATGGGCAAAATCAGTGCAGGAAATAATAGGAAGTGAAATAAATGGATTTTGGAGCAGAGGTAAAAAAAATATACAACAAATAAGTAGCCAAATAGAAAAGAATTATATTGAATTATGGAAAAAACAAATAACCTCAAAAAAAACATCATCAGGTGAAAATAATAAATTAAGAACATATTGTAAATTCAAAAATGAATTCAAAATGGAACAGTATTTAACACAAATTAAAGACCCCCACTATAGAAAAAGTATCTGTAAATTCAGGATAAGTGACCATGGTCTAATGATAGAGAAGGGTAGGCATGTTAGACCAAAAATAAAGTTTGAAGAAAGGGTATGCAAACAGTGTGATACGGATGCAGTGGAGGATGAATTCCATTTCCTGATTGATTGTCCAAGTCATAAAAATGCAAGATGTAAGCTGTTTTGAAAAATTGCTTATATACATCCATATTTTAATTTGATGAAACCAGATGACAAGTTCATATACATTATGAGCAATGTAGATAAGGAACTTGCGAACTATATTAGAGAATGTGGTGCATTTTAAATATATATATCAATATTTCATAATTTTAAATATGTATGTATTTAAACTACATATTTATTTCTTCCTTTTTTTTTTAATTTTAATTATTAGTTTAGCACTTGACTGTATGTTCTCTTCAAACAGAATGATGTCAATAAAGTATTATTATTAGTATTATTACCGGTATTTAACAATCACTCAACTAAACTGTGGCATTTCAACACTTGCCTGTTCACAAACAATAAATGTCATAGTTTTTTATGTTTTACTTGTTTTTCAATTACTATTTGAAAAAACAATTACTCACATGTTGTACAGTACTGTCCAGTATAACAGCCAACACAGCTACAACTGTAATCAGTACATGACCCTGGCTGGGCAATGCATATACCATTATTCTGACAGAAAGCAGTCTGACAAGGATCCAACACTGCAAAGTTTAATATAGACAAGTTTTTTACGTACAATGTGAGGTAGTTTTACCATAGAGTTCACGAATATTTAAAGCAAGTATAGTAGTTTACGATAAATAATGTCTAGACGAACATTGAGCCTTCAAGCCTCTAGCTACTTTTATGTTTAAGAACATTAGTCATAAAGTAAAGAAAACACTCACATGTTTCACAATTGAATCCAGTGTAACAACCAGGGCAATCACATGTGAAGGATACACATGAACCAGGAGATGCTGTGCAAACACCACCATTCTGACATTGATTAGGTTGGCATGGGTTAGAAACTGAAAAAAAAATCATAAATAATACCATGTTGTTCAATGGTGTGTATTAATAAAGCAGATAAAATTTTGTATACCGTATATATCTTGTATGTTATTATAAAGTAATATTGGAAAATATTTCAAAATGTTTGATATATATAGTACAGAATTTCCAGAAACACTGTTTTAAAACATTTTTGGGAGAGTCAAGGGGCAGAAGAAACTTCATCATTCCAAACCAAAAAATATTGCTTAGTTTGTATACAAAATCTTTTGCATGAATTATCAATATATTAAAATCCATACACCCAATAGTGAAGAAGCTCACCATTACCAGTTTAGAAAAAAATAGAAAGAAATACACAATTAAATAACTTACATTCTGTACAGTATTGACCACTGTAACATGTTGCACACTGACATTGGTAGTCTGTACATGATCCTGGCAAGGGTACACATACACCACCATTCTGACAAAGATGATTGCTACAGGGGTTTAACACTGGCAACAAAAAAGGAAAAATAAAATCAATCAATTTTATAAAATATTTACCATAATTGTTCTCAACACAAAAACAACAACAGATGTGTTTTATAACCTCATCTTTCATTTGTCCTGTAACATCATGCATCTACATAAGGTATTGCATTTGTGACACCTATTTGTGGTGGTCATTAGATTAATGTTACGTTTCCTTCAATTTTATATCATTGAACAAATACTTACAGGTACTACAGTATTGTCCAATGTAACATGAACTACATTGGCAAGTGTAATCAGTGCAGGAACCTTGAACAGCAGTACACACACCACCATTCTGACACTGGTTATTCTGACAGGCATCAATGACTACAAGATAGAATCGAACATTTTATTAATTAGTTGTTGATATCCCTAGCATTATCACCACCCCACCCATGTACTTTTTCTACAAACGAGAAGAGGAGATGCCATAAAACAGCATTTTGGTCAATCTAGCCTCAACTAAGGGAAAGATTCATGAAAATTGCATCTATTACTCAATTTTAAATTTCCTGCAGAAAATATTCATCAAATATCAAGTATATCAATAAATATTTAATGCAAAAAATGATGAATATGTGGATCAACAAGTGAAAAATTTTAGGAAAATTAGATTACGGGAAGAGAAATACAGTGTATTTAAACAGAAATGAAATTTTTAGTAGATGTTCAATAACTAGCTAAAAACAACATGAAACAACTTACAGGTTGTACAGTATTGGTCAGTATAGCATGAAGGACAAGTACAAGTAAAATCTGTACAAGAACCAAGAACAGCAACACATGTTCCACCATTCTGACAATAGCTATTAGCACATGGATTTTGTACTGCAATGAAAACAAATTGAATCTATTAGTAAATGGCAATGTAATTGACAGTTTTAGGTCATCTGCTATCATGTGCCATGACAATCAGTGAACAACTACCAGCACATCTAAAATCTAAATTATTATTATTATATAATTGCGAGACTTGATTGGCAAAAGGCACGTCATACAAAACTGACAGTATTTTTCCCAATAATTCAAAAGTGAGGAATGTCAAAGTAAAATTACATAACAATCTTAGATTAAAAACTGTTCAGTACAGCAAAGAAATGTAAGTGAATACAAACTTACATGTCTCACAATACTGTCCAAGATAGCAAGTAGGACATGTACACTGATATAACTCGCAGGATCCTGAGATAGCAACACAAGTACCTCCATTCTGACATTGATGGTTGTCACATGCATTCAATACTGGAAGTAAACACAAATCATTTAATATATTTATTGCAATAAGAGATGACCAACACCAGAGAACAAGTCAGGGTCAAAGCTAAAAAACAATAGAATAGCGACAACAGCAGCCTTTTCTTTGATTGATCTGAATATTCCAAGAAAAGTAGCATCTCACACCATTGTTACTGCAAGCATTTGCAAAATTCAAGAAAATTTTAATTATGTTTTACAAGGAATGAATTTCAAAAAAAGAAATATGAATCATAGAATATAAATACAGTATGTGAAATTTTATGTCAACACAGACAATTAATAAACATCCACTATGGAGTAAGTGTACATAAAACAAGTGATTTGGATCAAAGAGGACTATCAGTACACACACAAAAATCTGCAATCTGAAAGAAATGATACAAATAATGATATGATATATTTAACACTTACATGTTGTACAATATTGCCCAGTATAACATCCAGTACATGTACAGGTATAGTCAGTACAGGATCCTGCCACAGGAACACAGAAACCACCATTCTGACACTGGGAATTCTGGCATGGATTTATTTCTAGTATTAAGATAAATGCAATATTTTAAGTTAGACAAAACATTTAATTGTCCATAGTTAATACTGTAAAATAACTAATTTTCACTGGGTTTAAATTTCGCTGATTTACCTTTTCAGGCATATTCAGTGGGTTTTAAATTCACTGTTTTATTTTTTAGATAATTTGTTCTATGCTAACTTTTACATATTTACTGGGTTTTAATTTAGCGCATTTTTCAGTCAGCGAAATGAGCAAAATTAAAACCCAGTGAATAATTAACCCCTTTACAGTAGTATCAGCAAGTTATTACATTGGTAGAAGTAAGTGAAATTTTGTTTAACTATGTTCTACTGTCATAGAATATTGGTTTTATATATAATATGGATTGACACAAGAACAGAGTGCATATTAACTAAAAACTTAATAAACTTATGTTGTAATTATAAATTTGAATGAACAACACTTACGTTGGGTACAGTATGTTCCAGTATAGCATTCAGCACAAGCACAGCTCCAATCTCTACAAGAACCAAGAACAGGAACACATGTTCCACCATTCTGACAGAAACTGTTGGCACATGGATCTTGCACTGAATATAAAAATAGCAATACAATTACAATCTTTCTGAACTCCTTTGCTGAGGAAACTGTTTCGAGGGTAGACAGCAATGAGATAGGAAAGAGTTGTGCTGGGTTGATATCTAATTG